TTGAAAACAATGTTTTTGTTTGAGTTTGGGTTTGACCAATTCGTAAAAAAAAAAAAAAATAAATAAATAAATAAATAATTAAGACATGCGTGTCCGTCAACCTTAAACAATAATCTTTGTCAATTTTATTTTTCAGTCTTTATGATGGTGGATACTTGATCTATCTCTTACTGTTATGTCCCCAGGCAACGCCGGGCTCTACTGCTAGTTAGTAATAAGAAAGGAAACAAATGAAGAGAAAATAAGTACTTGGACAACCATCTTTATTCAAACAAAAGGATTAGTAGTTAGGTTTTAGTGTGATATTAATATAACTAATGTAATGAAAACTGATATAATAAAAAGAATAAAAAAGAAAATTTCAATAATTGGTAATAGGAAAAAATGAAGAGAAAAAGTACTCAGACGACTACATCCTTATGCAAGCAAATGGATTGGTATTGAGATCTTAAACACATAACCTATGTTGTGTCTCTATTGTTGTTCATCTTAGTGTGTACAAGAACTGGAAAAGGTCTACCATATGTTCATAAGAGTAACAAAAGGTGAAATCAGTTCCACTAGTGAGAAATTAAAACATGAACCCTGTTTTCAATAATTTGTGTGGTCAGGTGGTTTGGGACAACTTTTGCCATGACATACTATTGATCAGCTTTTTCTTTCAACTGGTAAGAACTCTGACTCTCTCTCTCTCCCCTACAACCCTGCTGCACATCTATACACCACAATGCATAGCTGGCAGCTCTAATAGGCAGTCCAGCAATACTTTTTAATTCCTAGTTGTTGTTGTGACTCATGGTGGCAATCTTTTATGTATATATCTATACCCTGCCAAAACTGGTTATTGTCTATATTTAAATTTTTTTTAATCATTTCATCCCAAGCAAGGCAATAAAGCCACTAAGCTGCAAGCGTTTACTGAGTGAGAGGGAATATGAGAAAATGAGGAACATTATTAAGGGGAGAGAACAATAAAAGAACAGGAATAATGAAGACCCGTTGAATTGCCTTTAAAATTTTGAAGATTGAAGTTGATTGCAAAGCAAGAAGCTGGAAGAAAGTTCTACAAGCACAAAATGTGATAGAAGAAACTGTTAGCATAGACCTTATGGTTACATCTAGCCTCTTCAACTATAAAATGATGAGACCTTGCCGCCAATCCAGTACTGCAGTTAAATTCATAAAGTCTAGGTAGCAAAAAGGAAAATTCATCAGAACAGTTATCATAAAAGTATTTATAGAAAAGGCACTGGGAAGCTATGTTACAGTAGTGGGAAAATGACCAAAGCTGAGATGCCATGTCAGGACCAGTAACATTGCAGATTCTCCTTTGTATTTCATCAAAAACCTCTAAATACATAGCAGAAACACCAGACGAGATGTGGCAGCAATAATAAATGGTAGACTTAGTAAAATTGTCTAGTATGACACTGTGAACTGAATTTCCTAGCAGAAGTCTTATCACTATATTTGATATAATCATTTCACTTCATGTCAGTAGAGAATTTGATACCAAGAAGATACAGTATGTTGCTCACTTGAACGTTAACGTCAGCCATGTTGATGGAAGGCAAAAGGAAGTTCTTTAAGATGATTAATAGAGAGTAGTTTAGTTTTGGAGGAGTTAAAATTTACAAGCCATTTCTTGCCCCAGTTAACAAAAAAAATGTCATTTTTGAGATCAACTGCCAACTGGACTTCATCAAAACTATCAGAATTACTGTCAAGACACTAGTAAATAGTTGTCATTAAAATAGATACCAAGTCAGGAACTGATGATATTGGCAACATTGTTGATGAAAATAAGGAACAATGTATGTTCAAATTATAGAGCCCTGGGGATACCCGCTTTAGTGCAAAATTATCTAGAAGATTAGCCATTCAAGAAAACTTTCATTTTGAGATTTGATAAGACCTATTGAATCAGTTCAAAAATTTGTCCAAAAATTCCATAACCCTTCAACTTGTAATAATAATTACAATAAGTACAGATATTAAAAGAATGATGGTCAGCACCCAAAATTGAGATATATGCAAGCAGAAGCTGAAAATGACACACTTACCAAAATTGGTATTTTGATGATCACGTAAATACTGAATTTGGCAGGTGGGTCAAGCTGTGAACTTGATTTGATTTTATTCATGATAGATTGTCTGACAGGTTTCCAAGAATTTGAGGCAGGCAGTGGCTTATTTCACATCCAGGTTGTTTGCTTAGTAATTCTAGAATGTAAATGATCAAAATATTATAATAATAAAAAGAAAATAATAAAAGACCATTTCAGACTGTTATGTTGTTCCTTCTGTCAAAAATAAACGTGATTACTCAACATTACCACCACTAAAATAAGTTTCTGAAATTTTCAACTCTCAAACATCAAAAACCTTGAAGAATTTAATTTCTGATTTTGATTATAAATAATATGAAATGAATTTTAATTTCCTGTATAGTCTTCTTTTACAACTTCAATGAGACAAATATTCCTCCATTTTAATGTAGATATAAAACTCAGTTACTTTGCCTTCCAAATCCATAAGCAAAAATGAAACTTGTAGGTGCCTGAGATAATTTTTTTGCATAAGGACTTCTTATTTTCTCTGTGAAATAGTCAGGATTGTTCTTTATTAGTGTGTCTGTATCTTCTTTCATGTTTTTTGCTGGTTTATTTTTCTGATCTTTTTCATCTTATGAATATTAGTTTGCTTATAATTTGATTTGTGGGCTCTACCATTGTTAATGTATTTTTCGTAAAATTTCCTTAAACATGAAAGCAACTAGGATGTTTTTAGTAATTATTTTACCCATTAATGCTCACATTAAAATCGGGTATTAATTAAATACAAAATAATTCAGTATTAATTATAGGGTTACACAAAAGAAAATAGTATTCTAGGGTTATACAAAAACAAAGTCAGTATCAATTATAGGGTTATACAAAAAATCAGTATCAATCATAGGGTTATACAAAAAATCAGTATCAATCATAGGGTTATACAAAAAATCAGTATTAATCATAGGGTTATACAAAAAATCAGTATTAATCATAGGGTTATACAAAAAATCAGTATTAATCATAGGGTTATACAAAAAATCAGTATTAATCATAGGGTTATACAAAAAATCAGTATTAATCATAGGGTTATACAAAAAATCTGTATTAATTATAGGGTTATAAAAAAAAACTGTATTAATTATAGGGCTATACAAAAAATCAGTATTAATCATAGGGTTATACAAAAAGTATTAACTATAGGGTTATACAAAAAAATCAGTATTAACTATAGGGTTATACAAAAAATTCAGTATTAACTATAGGGTTATACAAAAAATTCAGTATTAATTATAGGGTTCTATAAAAAAAATTTAGTGTTATGGGGTTATAAAAAGAATCAATATTAATTATAATTATATAATCTCGCATTAGTACCTTTTGATTTTTAATAATTGTCTATAATTTACTAGTGCCCACTGTCCCAAAAATGGAGTAGAGAACATTAATGGGTTAATATACCAACCAAATGAATCATTTTTCGGTAGTCAACATTAATGAATCCATTTCAGTTGCACTAAGTAGATTGAGGATACCATACTTCCACTCGTGTACTGTTATTATCTATATGTCAGGTAATGGGCAAACACCTTTATCACACAATAAAAAAAAACATACATTTCTTTATTTATATAAACCTTATTCATCCACCTGGAGCCAAAATAGTAATATATGCTAGTATATGATTTAATTGGTATTGTAACTGTTTTTTTTTTGTCAAACAGTATTTTTTGATGAAATATATCCTTTTTTGATTATAAATTATGCAATTGGCTTGGTTAACACATATTATGATAATGACAATACAAAGAATACAAAGTTTATTTTCTGAACACAATTTTGAATATTAATGACTTTTTTCAAAATATTTTTTGTTTATTGATCCATAAAAGCATAACCTGTTCTGGAATTATTTTCTGCTTTGCATGTTCATTCATCTCATGAAGAATAGAGATCAGTTTATTCTTATTATTACAATCATGAATTGCTTATTTTGATGTGGTTATTGTCCAAATGGAAAGTAACCACATGTGCCATAACCCTTGTTCCAAGAACGATTTTAAAGACGGAACAAAAAATGTTTTTGTGGAGACCACCCTGCTAAATATATATATATATATATATATATTTTAACTTATGGTATGTTAATGGAGGATTGCAATCTGATAACCAGAATAAACAATTTTTGGAAGGGAAACAAACCAGACTATGTCAGTATTTGTAAACAGTGATTGGACATTGACATTTTTTTTTTTTTGCCTCTCCCTCCATCTCTGATACAAGTCTTCAAATCTGGTTAACTTTGTTTTCAATTTCCTCAAGAGAACTTGTTTATCAGAAAAGTGAAAATTTAGTAATTTTGTTGGTGTTGGCTGTCAACTGCTTTTAAGATAATGCCAAATCCTTTGCCATGAAATGAATTGCCTTTTATGAAAATGATATACGAAGACTGGTCTAGATTCAACAGCACAGCAAATGCAGTTGACAAACCTGGTTGAAATTCTAACATAAGCTAGTTTGTTTACTTTGCACTAATGCACTTAGAAAAGGCATGAATCTATCTGTTCCATCTACCTAAAATTTATTTAGGCTAAATAGCAGGATAGACTGAAAGTGTGGATGGATTAATGGTTTCTGTGGAAAATGAAATTGGCAAGCCAAGTTCAAATTCAGACCAAGTTTGTGTTCACTTCATATTAATACCCCTGGAAAAGAATCCATCCCTTTTCTCTACCTTCCAAGCTATGGGTTAAATAGCAGAACAGACAAGTTCTGTAGTTTAGGTTAGAAACTAGTCTCGGAAAATAATTCTGAATTCAAGAACAATGATGGTAATGTATAGTTTACAGGTATTAAAGATAAGAAAGTTGTGGAAAGCTATGATTGACTGTCTCCTCATAGAAGAGAATGATTTTTTTGTATACACACATACATACAATGTTTATATAAATGGCAATACTGTTTCTTCTTTCAGATATTCAAAACAAGAAACCAATTGTGTGTCAATTTGCCAACCCCCTTCCAGATGACATCCACAAGAGGACAGAGGTAAGATTTCATGCCATTTGTGGTGTCTTGGAAACAAATCACTTTCTTCCTGAAGTCTTTTTAATTTCAATGACATATCTTTATAAGTCTGCTGGTACAAGCAAATTTAAGTTTTAAAGCATATTTTACAATGTCCTCACTCATCTTATCCAAGTGGTTACATATATCAAAGAAAAATATGTTACATCCTTATCAAGTTGTTTGAAATAATTCATTAGATGAGATCAAAGGGAGATTATTTGGTTTGGGTTTTTGAAATTATCAATTTTAGTATTCTTCATTATGTAAGTTAATGATATTGAACTGTGTGAAATGGAAAAACGAGGTTAACTTGAGACGCAATGCAGATTTATATTTATATTGATATTGATATCTGTAAAGTTATGTTGAATGGAGATTTCATGCAAAGCTTACACTCATTGGTAATCAGTCCACTAAGAGGCTTAATGTTAACTTATAATATTCAATTATTAAGTAATTTTGTAAGATTGTGTTACAGTGGCTCTGCAGTTTTTAAAATGACTGACAAATTTGATCATCATCATCTGTCCTGTTACTAGGTGTGGCCTTAGGATCATTGAGCATCTGAATACTTCGCTCCACATTCCAGCAGGGAGAAGTAAGTTCTACTTGAACAGTTTCTTCCTATGAACCACTGCTCTGTGGAACAGACTCCCAAAAGGATGTTTCCCCTGATTTAATACAATCTTAGCTTATTCAAATCTAGAGTTAACCCTCCTATCCATATAAGCTACCTCTTAACATAACCCTCTACCTTGAATGAACCCTGAGTTTTGTACTTGGTGAACCTTACTGTAATAAATATATGGGTTGAAAATCAGAGGTATTCAATCAACTGGAGAATGCCTTAGGAAAGCAGACCTAGTGGACTCCATCCCTCTTCTGGTCAAACCAAAACAGATATCCTCCAGTTTGAAAGCCACCTTGGTCATAGACATGTGGCCATCACAATAAAACTGGAGACTGTCTTCTCTTCATGGTGTTACCAATCAATGGGAGACTAAATTAAGTATAGCAGGACAAAGAATTGGGAACCTTATTTATTTGAGTGGACTAGGTGAAAGAAGTGGAGTCAGAGCCATATTTACCGAGGGCTAAAGTTATAATCTACATACATTCTTACAGTTCATTTGAGCTTCATTTCATGTTTTGAAAAATATGAAGTATCTTTTTTTTTTTTTTTTTTTTTTCCTCGATTAACACAAAAATTAAATGAATTTTTCTCTACATAATTTTTGCCTTGCTGTTCCAATTGGAGTACAAAATAGGTTATATCCATAGTTTTCCCACATTTATTTTTGTGCATAGCGTTTTATCTGCTGTCCAAGAACCACAGGAAGTGACATCCTGAAGATGCACATACTAATGGAAGAGTATTAGTATTTAATAACTATAGCCAAATTGTCATCCTATAAAGAGAATAGTTATCATAGAAGTTCTCTGTAAAATCTCTGTATAAACATTTTCAACAAGATGTCTATTTTCTAAGCTTTTTTTTTTTTTGTTGTTGTATTTGCTACTCTGGACATAGCTACACATGACTGACCATGAGACACATTTGAATAATTTTCTCATACTTATATTAATAACAAAAATTAATTTAGTAAATTTAATATTCTAAACTTGTTGTTATACTAAATCCACTTGTATTTCCTACTCTGGACATAGCTATACATGGCTGACCATGAGACACATTTGAATAATTTTCTAATACTTATATTAATAATAAAAATTAATTTAGTAAATTTAATATTCTAAACTTGTTGTTATACTAAGTCCACTTGTATTTCCTACTCTGGACATAGCTATACATGGCTGACCATGAGACACATTTGAATAATTTTCTAATACTTATATTAATAACAAAAATTAATTTAGTAAATTTAATATTCTAAACTTGTTGTTATACTAAATCCACTTGTATTTCCTACTCTGGACATAGCTATACATGGCTGACCACGAGACACATTTGAATAATTTTCTAATACTTATATTAATAATAAAAATTAATTTAGTAAATTTAATATTCTAAACTTGTTGTTATACTAAGTCCACTTGTATTTCCTACTCTGGACATAGCTACACATGGCTGACCATAAGACCCATTTGAATAATTTTCTAATAATTATATTAATAATAAAAATTAATTTAGTAAATTTAATATTCTAAACTTGTTTTAATAATTCAGTACAGTTTTAAGAAAATCTAATTAAACAGATTATTTTGACTTATTTAGGTAATTCCATAAATATTTTTCAACTCGATTTGACTAATTTGTAGTAATATGAAATATCAGATGACAACGATACTTATTATGAATGCTGTAGGTTTCATAACCTACAAGTGGATTTTGAGAAGGCAGATATAAATTCTTTCTAGGCAATGAATTTAAAAATAAAATTTTGTCAACAGGAACATTGCTTGGTATGGCAATTTTTTCTAAAATTTTAATTAATCTTTATCTAGCTGGAGGCAAAAATTGTTGTCATAGAATTCTATCCCTTTGCAGCTATAGGCACATTCTGTCACCTTGAGAGGATTGTTATAAACACTTGTCATTTCCAGTATTTTAAGCTGAAATAGCCTATTCCTGCTTTGGGATGAGGCTAAACTTCCATTTTCCAATGTAATTTTTAATTCTACGTTATGAAGTGCAATATCAGTTAAACCCATTTTAATTTTTTGGTAAACAAAAATGGCTGCATTAACATCCAATGAAGTCTTTATTCAGGAGTTTTTCTTTTGATTTGGGCTTCAATGATGATTTTTAAGGCTTTACTCAAGCAGATATTGATGGTGAAGTGATCAGAGATGGAGATGATAACCATGATAGTGATGGAAAGGAAAGCTATAATGAGCACGAGGTGCCATGCGGCTACTATCATCCATGGCTGATTAATTTTATGGAAGCTACTGACCCCATGGATGTACCTGATAGCCTTTCTGAAGGTGAACTATTTGTCAATGAGACAAATAAATATGCTTGTCTGGTGAAGGAAAGTAGAGGATCAAATGCTAGTGTCTACTCTTATGTAAACATGTGGAAGGACATTACTTTTGATGAAATGAAATCTGCCTTAGCCATTTTGCTTCTTATTGCACTCCAGAACTCCACATGGAGTAATAAAATTAAAGTATGTTAAATTGTTAATGCATTTGTTTTTTATTTTGTGTTTAAATTTTTTTTGTTTTCAACATCAAAACATGCATGCAAAACATAATGTATTACATCAAAATATTACTCATCCATTCTTTTATTAGCATATAAAATAAAATCTATACACACAATACGAAGAAAATTATAACAATTTTAAAACAGTAGGTGCTCATGTTTTTTGTGCCCTAAAAAATGCAATGGCAGGGGGAACAATTCTAGAGGGGTTTGTGAAGCAAAGGTTAAAAAAGAACAACACAAAAGGAATACTTATTAAAATATGCTTTTAAAAATTATGAAAATTAAATATTACCACTTATGTTGTAAATACAGTTAAGATTGTTTATAATATATAGACTGATAGAAAAGTCTTCATATATTACTGATTTTGTTATGTCATATTGTTATGGAAATGTCAGTGTTTTCCTATTTGAATTTTTTGATGAATCTCAGGTGATGTATACTCTGTGGAAACAGTCGAACAATAATCAAACAGTACTAAAAATAAGAACTAGACGAGATATCCCTAGACAGGGGCAGGGGAATGAGAACCCCCATAGATTAAATAAAGGGTTTAGTTCAGAATTCTCAGTAGGTTATCCAGATCAACATTCACCTGATGAAGGCCAAAAAGCACGACAGCTGAAATGTTGTGATGATATCAACAAAGATAGTGTAAAAAGTGCTTTTAGACATTATAAATGTATATTTTAAGACCAAATGTTTAACATTTAGCACTCTGCAATATTCATAAGTATTTCATCCTCATCCATTGGGTATAAGTTGTCACATAACTGCAATAACATCATCTTCGATTTTCACTTAGTCATTTTCCTGTTGCCATAGCAGGATATGACAACACTAGCACAAAATTCAACCATGCTATTGTCTGATGATCAAAATTGCATCCAATTGCTGTACAAACATTTTTTGTTTGACAAATAAAGTCACCAGCATACAGAATGCTAAAGTTTAATAAAAGTATGGGTCTGGAAAGTCATTTAAAAAATGTTCAAAAACTGGGAAAACTAATAGAAACAAGGTTCTGGTTATGTGCCCTCTGAACTTCCATAGATGTCTGTTTTATTCATAATGAGAATCAGTGTACACAACTGAAACAGTGGAGACAGGTGGAAGAGACCCAGAAACAATTATTCAAAAATAACAAAATCCAGACAAGAAAAATATAAATATTTAAGGAGAAAAATAAATTTATTATTAAATAAAATTATCTTTAAATAAATTGTAATTTTTTTTTTATTTATTAAAATAATGATATTCTATTTAGTTTTGTCTATACACAAATTATATACCTCATTTTTTTTATTTCATTATTATGATTATTAAACCTGTAACCTACTCCTCTTAGATGTCTAATGCAAGGTGGCCATTAATAATTGGGGGACTGGAATTTTTATTAATAAATGGTTGGGGGTGGGGTTTTAATAACTAGGGTATTCAAATTTTTCTCAGTATGCAATAAATAGGAGGAATTTTAATTGGGGGACTATTTTTCTCAATATGAAATAAATGGGGGAGTTTTAATAATGGGGGGTAATGGAATTTTTCTTAACATACAATAAATTGGGGGGAATCTTAACTTTTAGCATTTTGCAATATTCATATTATACAGGCGTTCAGTTAATTTTAATTGGCAATGTTCTGAGACCAGAATAACATGAACAGAGACTGTTTTGAAAAATAGAAAAATCATTCTGAAGTTTCTAGGTTCAGCAATTCTTTCTTTTAAAACTCCTTCATTAAGTTGAGAAACTTGATTCAGTACTTTGCTGTGTTGCCAATGATTGTGATAGGAATGATATGA